AATCCCAGAGAAAAACCATAAAAGTAGAATCTAGATCCTAATGGTGTTTCCCCAATCAAGTTACTGGATTTCTTTAAAATAAATAATTAAATAACAGTAACCATCTCACATTAGCATGCTGTAAGGATTCAATAGTTGATGTCCGCCTGCTATAGGACTGGTCTCCTAGGGAGCGAACGACGTCACTGTGCTATGCAGTAGACAGCAGCCTGTGATGACTAAGCACCCGGGCACTGCAATTACTTGAGGGAGAGGCCCACTCATGCCACTTATTATTTGTGTGACTTTGGATAAATTTTTAATGTTCAAACTGATGGTAACAGTACCTGATGTGTTACAGAGTGTAAGAACTAGCCAACGTAATTCACATAACATAGGTCCTTCTAGGAAATAAACCCAAAAAACATTACCTAATATTTTTACCAAAACAAGTTCTGCACTAAAACCCCAAAGCAGAGAGGCATGGTATTCCACAAATCATGAATAGAAACAGAAAGAAAAAAATATCACAGCAGTCCGCTCAAGCAACTTAAGGCGGTCGGTCCTTTTTATGTACCTAGGGACAGACACACTGCTATGAACTGTTGCAGATCCCAAGCTAGATTTTCAATCTCAGCACGGTGTCCTGAAGGCTAGACAAACAAGAATGAGAAAAGCTCCACTTGCAAAGCGAGGTTGTAAGACAATTACGGCAACAATACAGTGTGTGAAACGGGAATATAAATCCTGTTCCAATAAGAGATGTAACAGCAAGGAAGTAGGATGAAGGGGACAAAAAGGACAATACATCACCACTGTATGCAACCAAGTTTTCATGACTTCCTAAGCGTGTTTAGTGGGAAAAATAACTACAGCATCCCCGACTTTACACTGACATAAGCAGAGTTATGACATAATCAGAGTATTCTGAAGGAATCATCACCCCGCTTGTCTTGCTTACTAACATGAGTTATGGTGAAAAACAAGAGTGCACTTAGAAACCTTTCCCCAAAGACGCCAGAATTGAGGGGACTTTGGAGAAATAAAGTTACAGAAATAGACTTGGGAATTATATTCCCAGGGATAAAGAATGTAAAAGTCTTAAGTAACAAAATCTGGAAGCCACAAAGAAACTAGTATCATTTTGCAGAACCAGAGGCTACTTGGCAGGCCAGTTGCAATCAATGCAATAAATGCTAATAGGAAACAAAAAAAAAAGGTGAGTTACTAGAGAGCTGTAAGTAACTATGAGGAGAGCAATGGATTAAGAGGAACTGCAAGCAGTTAAAAAGTTAATTATGAGTCCTGCATTCAGAATACCTTGAAGTTAACATGTCTCACAACCCAAGTACTTAGCGTTAGCCGGCAGAATGAAGCAGCACACTGGAAAACGAAAGCTATGAATTTAAAACCAGTTCTAATTCTCACCAGTTCTTGGAAAGGGCTGTTTAAATGTGCCAAGGACGAAGATTATGAAGCAGTCACTTAACTGCTCGCAGTTTACAAAAATGTCACCATTCAAGAAACCGAAAGGAGCCGCAGAGCACACTTCCACATTTATTCTTCAGAGGGCACAGTCAAGGCTACAGTCAATATTTCACTCCCTACACAGTGAACGGATAACATTCACAAAGACAGCTAATGTTTTTTCTTTTTTGAGACAAGGTTTCTCCTTGTAGCCCTGGCTGTCCTGAAACTCGCTGCACTGGCCTTTGCCTCCCGAGTGCTGGGATTAAAGGTGTGCGCCACCACCTCCGGGCTGTCTCGCTTTTCTTAACAAGACACTTAAAAAAAAATGGTTGTTTCAATGAACAGACTTTGATGAAATATATCCTTGTATTGCCAAGGGTCCTAAATTCGAAGGAAAAACATCCCTTCGAATACAGCGAATATTTATAATGCACAGCAATCTGAGAGTAAGAATACACACACACACACGGGGAAGGCCGGGGACATAGCTCAGTAGAACCTGCCCAGCAGGCCACGTCTCACAGTATAACAAAAAACCTCTATATTTCACCCTTGAACTTAAGCCAAACAAGCATTAAAAGAAAAAAAATCAGTGGCCCACAAATTAAGTCTAATTAACCAATGACATTTTCTATTTGAAATAATAGCGAATCCGACGGCTCAGCAACGGAACCACCGACGCCGTCTATTAACCAGGACGAACCAATGCTAACAGGAACATCGCCCCTTGCCCGCAGGCCCCACGACACAGCCGCCAACGGAGCAGAGGGTTAAAGCTGGCTGCACCGAGGGCGTCGTGCACCGTCCGGGTCCGGGCTGCAAGCTGCATCCCCGCCACCCCACACCCGCTCGCCGCGACCCCGGCTCGACCAAGGTGAGCGCAGCAGACCGAGCTTTTACCCTCCATTGAAGGCGTAAGGCGAGAACCGCAGGTGCGCAGGGCCGGCGGAGCCCTGAGCCCTCATTGCCTGCTCTCGGTCGAAGCCCCGGTAAGCAGCCATGGTGAGCATCGTTCCGACTCCTGCTGTCTCACGGCAAGATGGCCGCCGGCGCAGGTCCACTTCCGGCCCCGTCAGGCCCCGCCCACCGGGCTCCTCTAGCCTGCGCTCGTCGTTGCTCTTGGAGGTCTCCGCCTGCGTCCCGCGGCGCATCCTGGATCCACCGACTCCAGGGGATCTGTTGTCCAACCCCGAGAAAACATTTGGGTTCACTCGTGGGGAATCCAAAGTTAAAAGTATGGCCATACCAAAAAGTTAACCCAATTACAGAGAACGGTAACTCGAACGGTCACATTGGTGTTTGAGAAGAATTAGCAGCTCCTGCTGGGTTGAAGGCTGTGTGCTATACGCAGCCATGCGACCCAAGTGGCAAGACTTAAGTTTCCCTAGCCAGAATCTAATGGTTAATATTGTTAACTTGACGGAATCCAGAATCACCTGGTAAAAACCCATGGGCATGTTTATGCAGGTTATTTCAGGATGGTTGAGCTGAGGAGGGAAGACCCAACCTAAATATAGGTGGCACCATCCCATGGCCTAGCTTTCTGGACTAAAAAAAAAAAAAAAAAAAGAAAGAAAAAAGAAGCAAACTAACATTCGCCTCTCTAAGCTTCCAGTCTGTGGACGCAACATGACTGGGATTCCGGTCTTCAGAAGCAATGTGGCTTCCCCTTCTCCAGGTGTCATGCTTCTGCGTGATGGACTGTATCCCCTTAAGCTGTAAGTCAAAATGAACCCTCCTTCCCTTAAGTTGCCTCCTGTCAGGCCGTTGTTAAGTTTTCTTAATTTCCTAAGTCTTACGGGGTTCCCTGTCCCTCCAGGAGAAAATGTTTCATTAAGGAGACAATAGCTACATAATGCTACTGTACTTATTAGAGTCCATATATAGATCAACACCCCATACACATAACACACAGATACTGTCCATCTCACACATACACACACACACACACACAGAGGGAGAGACTAAAGTAGTTCATTAACTTGTTGATAGTGCAAAACACAAGGGAAATTGTTGTTCTTTTTTAAAAAATGCTCCAAGATCCCCGTTGCAGTAGGCAGCAGAAATGCTCTAGGTCCCAAATGGTGGCGGCAGGCCATGTGGTGGCAGGCAGCGGGCTCTGGGAGCAGCCAGTCCCAGGCAGAAATGGCTGCCCGTCCCAGAGCAGTGGTGGCGGGTCATGTGGCAGCAGGCAGTGGGCCCCAGGCAGAGACGGCCGCTGGTCCCCGAGCAATGGCTGGTTCCAGGCAGGGAGATACATGGCAGGCGGGCAGAAGACAGAAACATGGATAGACATGACATGCAGGGTGAGGTTGAATGTTTATTCAGGGGGTTATGGAGGAGGAAGGGTGAAGGGGGGGACAAAGAGAGAGAGAGAGAGAGAGAGAGAGAGAGAGAGAGAGAGAGAGAAGAGAAGAGAAGAGAAGAGGAGAAAGAGACAGAGAAGGGGGGAAGCAGAGAAGTGGGGAGAGAGGCAGAAGCTAAGATGCCTCTCCGAGAGGAAGATGGAAAAGAGAACGAGCTCAGGCCGGAAGTTGAAGATCAGCCTGCCTCAGCGGATGGGGAGGGGAATGGGTGTGGCTTGTCTCTTAAAGGGACCAAAACCATAACAGAAATAACATAAGCAAAACAAGACCTGCATATGCCTAGATGAAGCACAGAAAAAAGGAATCAAGATATATTGAAATTCAATCAAGCATCAGGAAGCAACCTAGCTAGGAGGTTGTGGCATAAGCCTTTAATCCCAGCACTAGAGAGGCAGAGGCAGGAAGGAGGATCTCTGTGAGTTTGAGGCCAGCCTAGTCTACAGAATAAGTTCCAGACAGGTTCCAAAGCTACAAAGAAACCCTGTCTAGAAAAACAAAAACAACAACAACACAAAATGTTTTCTTGGAACAGCCGGGAAGAGAGCTGATAGGTACAGAACTAAAATGTAAATGAATGTGTGGTTACAAAGACGCATGTTTTGTTCTCTTTCTTTAGACACAAGTTAACTTTCACTGAAAACGTGATAAAGAGTATCTGCTTGCTATTCACGTTTCGATCTCAGCTTTATGGTACTAAGTAAAGGAGATGGTGAGCTTCCAAGTACCCTTGGTAACACTGTGAGCTTAAAAACCATGGTACACTAGCAGGGCATGTTAGCCCACGCCTTTGATCCCAGCACTCCGGAGGCAGAAGCAGGAGGATCTCTGAGTTTGAGGCCAGCCTTTTCTACAGAGGGAATCCCATGACAGCCAGGGCTACCCAGAGAAACCCTTTCTAAAAACAAAGCATGGAAGACTGAGGCTGTAGCTCAGTGATAGAATGCTTGCTTGAGTTTGATCCCTAAAGCCACATCTCCAACTGTTAGCTCTAAACACTCCGCACGTCTCCAGCCTTTGACAACAACCTGCTCAAAATGATCACGGGGCCCCGCCCAGTTCGGAATGGTCACGGGGCCCCGCCCCGGAACTGCTGGGAGCCCCGCCCCCTCGTTTCCTTTCGGAAAGGCCCCCCCCCCACACACACACACAAGCGTCCCAGGCCAGAGCACAGCGGGCGGAAGTGACGGCATCAGATTGCGTCGGGCTCCAGCGGGGTCGAGTCCGGTAGCGGTGGCGGGTCCCTGCTGGCGGTTTGGCTAGGTCTGTGCGGTCCAGGTAACGGTCGGTCAGCCTTTTCTCCGCTTTGAGGGGGTCCCCGGGACAGCCGGAGGGGACTTGGCATGGGGGCGCGGCCGAGCGGGGAGCGGCGCTCCGCGCGTGCTGTGGCTGATCGGCGAGTACCAGTCACTGGGCCACCGCTCCGGCGCGGTCTGGAAACCCTGTGCCAAGCGTGAGAGTTTCCGGGGGGCTGGCACCGGGCGGCGCCGCACGCCTCCGCTGCTGCCCCCGCTAGGAGACCGTTTTACCCAGGCATGCGGCCCCGCGTTTTTTCCCTCATTAAGGACCGTCTGGTCAGAAGCCTGAGATTCAAGTTCACTTGAAATCAACGTATAAACACGCGCTACTTTATTTACACTGTGCTCACCGTCTCTAGGCTCAGGTTAGCGTGGTTTTCCAGAACTCTAGGTAGGCTTTTCTGGGAAAGGACGCGTGACAGGGTTAGGCAGACACTTGGAAGACTGCAGAATAGGTTTCTCAAATATTCAATTTGATGGCTTAGTTTCCAAAAGATGAAAACTCTGGAAAAGAGCCTAAAAATAAGTTAGTGTAGTGATTATCCCTATTTTATGATACGTTGAGGAAAGATGATTTATATCGTCTGCAAGTGTGAGATGACCTCTGCATAGCATACGACAAATATTCGTCTTGAATAATCAACCGGTTCAGCAAGGCGGTGGTGGTGCAGGCCTTTAATCCCAGCACTCGGGAGGCAGAGGCAGGTGGATCTCTTGAGTTCGGGGCCAGCCTGGTCTACAGAGCTAGTTCCAGAACAGGCTCCAAAGCTGCAGAGAAAACCTGCCTCAAGTAATAATAATAAATAATAATAATAACCAACCGGTTCGGTGAACTTCATTTGCACAAAGTGATCTCGATAAATCCCTGATTATACTTTGGACATTAAACCCAACCTTCATTATCTTTTTGGCTCAACTAAAGCAGTGACCTCAGAAATTGAATTTTCAGTCTCCAGTTTTCTCAGATTTATCTTCTCTTGACAAAGGAGCTCCCCACCTACACTTCCAAATCCTATAACTTAATCCCATTGCCTGTGTAATAACACTCCAAGTTACATAACCCACCTATAGCTGCTGTGTCACCTCCTGTAGTGGCTTTCCATACTAAGTCTGTCACATACTGCATGCTCTCGTAGTCTTTGTCTGCCTTTCACTTTGGTATATATGCTGATTTGTATTTTTTTTGTTCCTCTTGCTAGATCCGTGTTAAATTGCTCCTGCTTTGTGAAAGATCTGGCCTCTCAAAAGGGTATGTGACTTTAGTGTTTTTCTTAATTTTTAAGAAGACTTACGTATGTGAGCCAGGCGGTGGTGGCACACACCTTTAATCCCAACACTGGGAAGGCAGAGGCAGGTGGATCTCTGAGTTTGGGACCAGTCTGGTTTACAAGAGCTAGTTCTAAAGCTACACAGAGAGAAACCCTGTCTCCTGTCTCGGAAAAAATAAACAAAAAAAAAAAAGTTTATGTTTGTGAATGTTTTTGCCTGTATGTGTACCACATGCATGCCTGGGGCCCATGGAAGACATAAGGGGGCACTAGATTCCCTAGGACTGGATTACAGCTAGTTTGAACAGCCATGTGGTGCTAGGCCTTCTGGGGAGAAACAGTGCTCTTAACTGCTGAACATCTCTCCAACCCCTGACTTTAGTTGTGTTCTTCCTTTCATAGCATTCACTGATGATTATGTACTGCACACCAGGCCCAGTTCTATGTGCACAGATCTGAAGACGTGTGTCCTGATTAGACATGTGTGATGATTATGTACTGCACACCAGGCACAGATCTGAAGACATGTGTGCTGATTGCAGCTTTCTTGTGTCTTAGTAAATACCTGCGATTTTAGTGTTGCTATTTTTTTTACAGTTATATGTATCTTTTTATATTGCTAAAGACTGTATCTTCTTTATCTTTGTATCTGGAACATTTTTGTTAGAGAATAATAAATACATTTTTCTGGTAATATCAGAAAAAGTGTAATTTTCTTGTAACCTTAGTATCTCTCGTATATCTAGTATCTCTCAGAAATGGGCATTTCTTCATTTTTTTTCTTTTTTCTTTTCTTTTTTTTTTTTTTAAATTTACCTATTATATATACAGTGTTCTGCCTGCATATATCCCTGCAAGTCAGAAGAGGGCACCAGATCTCATTACAGATGGTTATGAGCCACTATGTATGTGGTCGCTGAGAATTGAACTCAGGACCTCCAGAAGAGCACACAGTACTTTAACCTCTGAGCCTTCTCTCCAGCCCATCTCTTCATTTTTTCAATAGTGAGTTTGTATGAACATCGTTTGGGTCCTTTGTCCTCTCGTAGTGACTGTGACATTCTTTCATTGGACCTCAGAAGGCCTGTACCAGCATGTACTTAACATGACTGCGGACCTTTGAATATACAACTTGTAACTTGAAGCCTGTATGTCTTGTGTGATGTTAGTTGATGATAAACGTTTAGAATAAGATCGATTGTCAGGCTGGGGAGATAACTCAATGGTTAAGAGTATTTGCTGCCTTTGTAGAGGACCTGACTTTGGTGCCCAGCACCTATATCGTGACTCACAAATATCTGAAAATCCAGTTGTAGGGAATCCAATACCATCTTCCTGACATCTGCAGGCACCACATGTGTGATGCACATACATACATGCTTACAAAACACTCATACACGTAAGACAAAAGTCCTTTTATAAAGATTTAAGTGCAATAACTAATGTCTGTTCTGTGCTTACTATGTGTCTATAGTTAGACTTATCTCCTCCCCAACCCCCAACACACAGTTTCTCTGTGTAGCCTGGCTATCCTGGAACTTACTCTATAGACCAGGCTGTCCTTGAACCTCTGCCTCCCAAGTGCTGGTTTTAAAGGTGAATGCCACCACCGCCCAGCAGTTAGACTCATCTTGATTTGATAGCTAATTCAATTTGTTCATTCATTGTTCGTTCATACAGTCCTTATGGCATCTCTGAGCAAGTTATCGATCTGCATGAACTGAACTGATCTTTCGTTTGCCTGGTATTTATGAGGCTCTTGGTTCTGTCGCTGCCACTACAAATTTTAAAAAAAGCTCTTCATAGTCTCTTAATCATACTGCATATCCATGATCACCAAAGAGATGATGATTTAAGAAGCCCAGTTCCAGGCATAGTTTTTATTAATGTGTTCTAAGGAGTTAAGAACATTGCATTTATAAAATTAATTGTTTAATCTGTCTTTAATTAAAATTGGAACACAAAAAAATGATTACCTAAAGCATATTATATCCAGTTTAATATTTATGCCACTTTATGCTTGAGACATTGCGAAGAGTATAAAACAGAGCAGCATATTTAAAAACCAGCATTGATCTAATAGTGCTGTAGAAACAGTACTTAATAAGTGTTCTCTGATAGTACAGTTCACTTAGGAATTTGTTTTCCCTAGGTGTTCCCCCATACCCTGCAAAAGATCTTTTGCTGGGGGTGGGGTGAGGGGTTGTTGCAAAGGGCTGGTCCCTGATTCTGACTCTTAAAAAAAGATGGCTCGGAGGTTAAAGCACTGCCTACTCGTCCAGAGAACCCAGGTTGGAGCCATCTCTCCTGCCCTACAATTTGATCTTAATCTAAACATTTATAGCATACAGGTTTCAAAGTTACAAGTTGTATATCCAAAGACCCATATTTATTTTAAGTATATATATGACCATGGTGGCTCACAGCCATCTGTTAATACATAGTAACATAGTTTTGTTGGCAGTTTTATATGAGTCACAGGGCATCTGACCCTCTCTTCTGGGCCTCTGCTGGTACCAGGCATGCAAGTGGTACACAAGCATACATGCAGGCAAAATACCCACACATATAAAATATAAAGTGAATTACATTTATGTCAACAGTCAGCCTGTGAGAATCTGTTCTCTCCTTTCACCATATGGGTAAATTCTGAGTGTCAGAATTGACAGCCTGTACTTCCTGAGCCATTTCTTGGTAGCCCTTTTTCCAAAAGTTTTTATTACTGACCTTAACACCTTATTGTTAAGTACTATTAGAATATTTAACTACATAGTAACATAGTTTTGTTGGCAGTTTTATATGAGTCACAGGAAACATGGACTAGGCTTTTGGAATTAAAGGATATAGATTTCTCCAAGATAGCTTGTATATGTGTTTTGTTTTTGTTGTTTGTTTTTCAAGTTTTTTGAGATAAGATTTCTCTGTAGCTTTGGTACCTGTCCTAGAACTTGTTCTGTATTCAGACTGATCTCTAACTCAGAGATCTGCCTGCTTCTGCCTCCTGGAGTGCTGGAATTAAAGGCTTACACCACCACCACTCAGCATGTGTGTGTGTTTTGTATGAACATGAAACTTGTTTAAACTTAAAACATTTTTTTTTTCAAGCACAGCATCACTGTTTCATGGTGTGTGGAGATAACCCGGAAAGTTAAGGACGTTTCTAAGGAGAATTTGCAGAGGATGCTCTAGGAAAAATCTGAACACTGAAGGAAGTGAAAATCATGGACCAGAACAACAGCCTTCCTCCTTATGCTCAGGGCTTGGCCTCCCCACAGGTAAAAGAGCAAGAAGTGGGGGCAAGGAGGGCTGACATAGTCCCATTAAGAGAAAGCAGAAGAAGGTACACGTTAGCCACCCAGATTTAAACATGGATTTGTATGTTTCTCAAGCTTGTTTTACTTTGTGGAAGTTTCTGCTTTGGGTAGGCATGATGCGTTTCTGCTTGGGGAGTTTATTTGGAACCTAATTTAGAAGACTTCTATCTGTGTGAGCTGTAGAACATTTATTTCATTTACTCAAGAAGATTCCTTCTTGACTCTGTTGCAGTCACCTCCCTAGCCCAAGATGACAACAAAATCTGCTTACAAAGTTAAACATTAATTTTTATATAAAATGTGTGTGTGGTTGCAATAGAATTAGACCTAGATTATTTGTTACTAATTCAGTATTAATTTTGCCGTCCTTTTTCTTCCTACTTCCACATAAATAGTTACTAAATCTAGCAATGCTTGTAAGACAGAAGCATTATAGAAAAGGCAGTTAACAGTATTTAACAGGCTTTGGTAGCTAATCCTCATAGCCTGGGTTGCATTTTACATAGGGACATGCACCTTTGCCTTGTCCTTACTATCTAGATATGCTTGGGTGGCTAAGCATCTGTCTTGTATATTATAAATAACAGACTCCATATGCTAAGTACTCATCTGCTGTGTTTAGTGCCACAAAAGAAAAGTGATGCATCTCAGAGTAATTCCTAGTAATTCAAGACCTATTCAGAAAGCATCAGGTTTTACATTTTCCCTGGATTCCAGTAGAAAGAGCCTATACTACTAAACATTAATGTCTTAATTATTCTCTCTGTTTTCCACAGGGAGCCATGACTCCTGGAATCCCTATCTTTAGTCCAATGATGCCTTATGGCACAGGACTTACTCCGCAGCCTATTCAGAACACCAATAGTCTGTCTATTTTGGAAGAGCAACAAAGACAGCAGCAGCAACAGCAGCAACAACAGCAGCAGCAGCAGCAGGCAGTAGCAACTGCAGCAGCCTCAGTTCAGCAATCAGCATCTCAGCAGCCCACACAGGGTGCCTCAGGCCAGACTCCACAGATCTTCCATTCCCAGACTCTGACCACTGCACCCTTGCCAGGCACCACCCCCTTGTATCCTTCACCAATGACCCCTATGACCCCGATCACTCCTGCCACACCAGCCTCTGAGAGCTCTGGGATCGTACCACAGTTGCAGTGAGTACCTCTTAGCGTGTGTGCTCTCGCTTTCCCTCTTCCAGTGTGTGTGCATGCATGCATGCGCACACATGTTTTTTTATGTCCTCTGTCCCCTGCACCAGAGGAGGCTCTCAATGGTATTACACTGTTTGCTTTCAGACCGTGGATTTACTTAAGGTAATTCTGTTATAGTGCGGCTTCATCTGCTCCTGGCAAGGAATTGAAACCACAGAATGAGGCAGTGTTCTCAGCAGAGCCTTTCCTTAGACATGGAGTTGTGTTTATGTGTTGGGGCCACTGAAATGAAGTTGAGTTTCATCAATACTGTGGACATTTCTCTGTAGCTAATTGTCTGAGTTACAGCCAGTTGTATCACAGGCTTGTCCAATCTTTGGAGATTTGTGAGCATGGCAGTTCTTGTCTTGAAATATGTTTCTGCTTAAGTGAAGTAGTTCACACATGTTAAGGGGTAGGAGGCATGGGCTTTTTTTATTTCTTCCTGAAACAACCCAAATCTAGATACTCCTCAGTAACAAGTGTGTAGATTCCACTTAAGGAAGCTGATAGCCTGACTAAAGGTTCTTTGCAGACAACACTGTTCAGTTTGTGTTAGCTGATCTTCCCTCCTACTTTGAGATCAACTTTCTTTTTACATACATAATTGTCATTTGTAAGCCATGCCAGATCATTTTTAAGTTACATGGTATATAATCATGAATCTTGACTATTACACATTGCCTGTATACAATTTTAAGATTACTTTTGATTTTTATAATTTTAGAGAGATAAGCCCTGTTAGCTCTCCTTTAGACAAAGTCTGTACTGCTCCACACTAATTTTTCATTCCTATTTGACTCCCATAGGCATTGTGCTTTGTATTCTGATTAAAATCATCTGTTAGAACCAGCCTAGGACATACACTTATCTCCATAGCCACAGAGCATGTACTTGGGAGCCAGAGGCTGGAAGATCTCTGTGAGTTCAGAGCCAGCCTGGTTTACAGAGTGAGTTCCAGCACTGCCAGGGCTACACAGAGAACCACTGTTACTGCATAGAATGCTTTGAGACTGGGATACAGTGGCATGAAACAGTCTTTTAGACCCAGGTGGGGAATGATGAATTCTGTGCATGTGTGCATGCAACTTCCCTATGTATGCTGGAGGAGAACCTCAAGAATCATATCTCCACCCTGGTCACTGCTGGTTGGGCTAAGCTGACTAGCCAGTGAGCCTCAGAAATCTGCCTGTCTCTGTCTCCTTGGCACTAGGATTACAGGTGCACATTATCACTCTCACGGGTTCTGGGGATTGAACTCCACAAGCTCTTTACAAATGGAGCTGTCTCCCTAGCCTGCTAGTGATTTAACATGACTTACAGTGGTAACTACAGAACAGAGTACAGGTATTTTCTTCCCTTGCTAAAGACATTGAATTCCATTTTGGGAAGATTGAGAAAATGCACATCTTCCTGTTTTACCATATTGACTTACTAGTGAGCTAATGTTGGTAGTATTTGAGAGCTCAGGAAAGCATGGCTCCTGAGACACACAAGTTCTGGCTCCTCCACTTGGCAGTCATGTGCATCCCAAGCCAAATGCAGTGCATTCCATGGAGGCTCAGTGGCTTTGTCTGATTGTGGGAATAACAGTTACCACTTGATAGTACGTTTTGGGTATTAAGTGGGAATATCTGGTATGTGGCACTTTTTAAAACATTTAGAGTCAGCAGAGTTTTTCGTTTGGTTTTGTTATTTTTATTATTATTACTACTAAAGCCTGGTGAAAAATAATGGATCATCAATCTAAATCATGTTTTGTTTCCAAATTTCTTGCAGAAATATTATATTCATAGCAAACCTTGGTTGTAAACCTGACCTAAAGACCATTGCCCTCTTTGTTTAAAAGTTAAATATTTTAAGTAATTATGTTTTTAAATTTCTTATAGAAATATTGTATCCACGGTGAATCTTGGATGTAAACTTGACCTAAAGACCATTGCACTTCGTGCCCGAAATGCTGAATATAATCCCAAGGTCAGACCCATTTTCATGTGTTTGAGACTATATAAGATAAACAGAAAATTCTTCCTAAATCTGTAGGTGAGAAAGTTTGTATTGTGCTTGTTTCTTTTTTTTTTTTTTAAATATTTATTTATTTACTCATTATGTATACAGTGTTCTGTCTGCCTGTATGCCTGCAGGCCAGAAGAGAGCACCAGACCTCATTACAAATGGTTGTGAGCCACCATGTGGTTGCCGGGAATTGAACTCAGGACCTTTGGAAGAGCAGGCAATGCTCTTAACCGCTGAGCCATCTCTCCAGCCCCTTGTGCTTGTTTCTTGATTCAAGCAAAATGAGTAGTTTTATGTTTATGATTAGTGTCTAGGAAAAGTTCATTCTGGGACTTTTTTTTTTATATATATATTTATTTATTTATTATGTATACAATATTCTGTCTGTATGCCTGAAGGCCAGAAGAGGGCGCCAGACCTCTTTACAGATGGTTGTGAGCCACCATGTGGTTGCTGGGAATTGAACTCAGGACCTTTGGAAGAGCAGGCAATGCTCTTAACCACTGAGCCATCTCTCCAGCCCCTCTGGGACTTTTCATTTTGTTCTGTTTTCCTGTTTTTGCAGTATTGTGATTTTAACTAGGACCTCAACCATACGAGGGCAGTGCTGCCCACTAAACCAAACTGTTGTTTTGTTCTTCAAGGCAGGATTTCTCTTGTAGCCCTGTTTGTCCTGGAACTCGCTCTGTAGACCACACTGGCCTTGAACTCGCAGAGTTCCACCTGTCTCTGCCTCCCAAGTGCTGGGATTAAAGGTGTGCACCACCACTGCCTGGCTGCATTCTCAGTTCTTCAACTTGTGTTTTATTGAATACCTACTATGTATATCCCTCTCCATTTGTAGAAATCCATATAATAAACTAAGTTTACATACATACACTTATGTTGTGGAGGGTACCACAAGAAGTTGGAAAACAGAATATCCCATTTATATCCTGAAGCCTATCTGATGACATATCTGTGGTACCCAGTCCATAATCCCGTGGGAGAGCTGGGGATGGTTTGCATGGGTGGAGAAAGGTTGGTCAGTGATTAATAATTGTTGGCTGGAAGTACAAGTTTATTACACATTTTCCCACCTTTGTGTAACTTTGAAGGTTTGCTGATAGACAAAATTACATGTGGTGGTATGGACACAAATAGCTTTTCTGATAGAGAAATTGCAGGAATTTAAGAGTCTGGCTTAGTGATAGAACACTGGTCTAGCAAGGCCAAAGACTTGTGATTGTAATCAGGCTTTTTGTCCTTTTACATTGTGGTAAGTCATTGAGAAACACACAGTTCTAGTAAAGTCCCTGGGAGCCTTACGGTTTCCGAGGCCTTAACCTGGCTGTTGGTCTCCGTACCCCGGCTTTACTTTTGTCCATTGTCTTCACCTGTGAGTCTCGGTTCTCCCCCTTGTTGTATCCTGTAAGTTGAGGTTGCATAGAGTCTCTGACTTCTTCCTGTGGGAGTATCTTGTGCATCCTCCTGGGAGCTCCTCCCGCTGCTCCTGTCACAGCTCCTTAGGTGACCTCTTATGAAGAGCCTCACACTTCTGATCCTGGTGAAATTCATTTATAGGCATTAGTACAGATCAGCCACATGAGTGTGAAAGGACTCGAGTCCCAGATTACTTTCTGGGGCACTATTTTATAGGTTGTTAGGGGTGTGATTTTCTATTTGACAAACAGATTCAAGTTATGTAACTTACCTGTTGTCTCCTCCCATGATACAACTGGTATTAATGGCATGCATGCCCAGTTTTACGTGGGCAGAAGGTGGCAGTAGGGGATTTCCCTTAAAAGGTTACTCAGAGGACACAGTTTGCCTTATTGCATCAAAAGCATTGAGACTGAATCAGTCAGCCCCACCCACTCCGTGCCTTGTCCTTGGACACAACTGGAGAATGATCGAGTAGACTGTGTGTGATGATCATCAAGGGAAGGAGAAACCTAGTCCGTTGTTTGAAGTGGTGTGTGTGTGTATCTGCGTAGACTGTGTGTGATGATCATCAAGGGAAGGAGAAACCTAGTCCGTTGTTTGAAGTGGTGTGTGTGTGTATCTGCGTAGACTGTGTGTGATGATCATCAAGGGAAGGAGAAACCTAGTCCGTTGTTTGAAGTGGTGTGTGTGTGTATCTGCGTAGACTGTGTGTGATGATCATCAAGGGAAGGAGAAACCTAGTCCGTTGTTTGAAGTGGTGTGTGTGTGTATCTGCGTAGACTGTGTGTGATGATCATCAAGGGAAGGAGAAACCTAGTCCGTTGTTTGAAGTGGTGTGTGTGTGTATCTGCGTAGACTGTGTGTGATGATCATCAAGGGAAGGAGAAACCTAGTCCGTTGTTTGAAGTGTGTGTGTGTATCTGCGTAGACTGTGTGTGATGATCATCAAGGGAAGGAGAAACCTAGTCCGTTGTTTGAAGTGGTGTGTGTGTGTATCTGCGTAGACTGTGTGTGATGATCATCAAGGGAAGGAGAAACCTAGTGCGTTGTTTGAAGTGGTGTGTGTGTGTATCTGCGTAGACTGTGTTTGATGATCATCAAGGGAAGGAGAAACCTAGTGCGTTGTTTGAAGTGGTGTGTGTGTGTATCTGCGTAGACTGTGTGTGATGATCATCAAGGGAAGGAGAAACCTAGTCCGTTGTTTGAAGTGGTGTGTGTGTGTATCTGCGTAGACTGTGTGTGATGATCATCAAGGGGAGGAGAAACCTAGTCCGTTGTTTGAAGTGGTGTGTGTGTGTATCTGCGTAGACTGTGTTTGATGATCATCAAGGGGAGGAGAAACCTAGTCCATTGTTTGAAGTGGTGTGTGTGTGTATCTGCGTAGACTGTGTGTGATGATCATCAAGGGAAGGAGAAACCTAGTCCGTTGTTTGAAGTGGTGTGTGTGTGTATCTGCGTAGACTGTGTGTGATGATCATCAAGGGAAGGAGAAACCTAGTCCGTTGTTTGAAGTGGTGTGTGTGTGTATCTGCGTAGACTGTGTGTGATGATCATCAAGGGAAGGAGAAACCTAGTGCGTTGTTTGAAGTGGTGTGTGTGTGTATCTGCGTAGACTGTGTTTGATGATCATCAAGGGAAGGAGAAACCTAGTGCGTTGTTTGAAGTGGTGTGTGTGTGTATCTGCGTAGACTGTGTGTGATGATCATCAAGGGAAGGAGAAACCTAGTCCGTTGTTTGAAGTGGTGTGTGTGTGTATCTGCGTAGACTGTGTGTGATGATCATCAAGGGGAGGAGAAACCTAGTCCGTTGTTTGAAGTGGTGTGTGTGTGTATCTGCGTAGACTGTGTTTGATGATCATCAAGGGGAGGAGAAACCTAGTCCATTGTTTGAAGTGGTGTGTGTGTGTATCTGCGTAGACTGTGTGTGATGATCATCAAGGGAAGGAGAAACCTAGTCCGTTGTTTGAAGTGGTGTGTGTGTGTATCTGCGTAGACTGTGTTTGATGATCATCAAGGGAAGGAGAAACCTAGTCCGTTGTTTGAAGTGGTGTGTGTGTGTATCTGCGTAGACTGTGTTTGATGATCATCAAGGGAAGGAGAAACCTAGTCCATTGTTTGAAGTGGTGTGTGTGTGTATCTGCGTAGACTGTGTGTGATGATCATCAAGGGAAGGAGAAACCTAGTCCATTGTTTGAAGTGGTGTGTGTGTGTATCTGCGTAGACTGTGTTTGATGATCATCAAGGGAAGGAGAAACCTAGTCCGTTGTTTGAAGTGGTGTGTGTGTGTATCTGCGTAGACTGTGTTTGATGATCATCAAGGGAAGGAGAAACCTAGTCCGTTGTTTGAAGTGGTGTGTGTGTGTATCTGCGTAGACTGTGTGTGATGATCATCAAGGGAAGGAGAAACCTAGTCCGTTGTTTGAAGTGGTGTGTGTGTGTATCTGCGTAGACTGTGTGTGATGATCATCAAGGGAAGGAGAAACCTAGTCCGTTGTTTGAAGTGGTGTGTGTGTGTATCTGCGTAGACTGTGTGTGATGATCATCAAGGGAAGGAGAAACCTAGTCCGTTGTTTGAAGTGGTGTGTGTGTGTATCTGCGTAGACTGTGTGTGATGATCATCAAGGGGAGGAGAAACCTAGTCCATTGTTTGAAGTGGTGTGTGTGTGTATCTGCGTAGACTGTGTGTGATGATCATCAAGGGAAGGAGAGACCTAGTCCGCTGTTTGAAGTGGTGTGTGTGTGTATCTGCGTAGACTGTGTGTGATGATCATCAAGGGAAGGAGAGACCTAGTCCGCTGTTTGAAGTGGTGTGTGTGTGTATCTGCGTAGACTGTGTGTGATGATCATCAAGGGAAGGAGAAACCTAGTCCACTGTTTGAAGTGGTGTGTGTGTGTATCTGCGTAGACTGTGTGTGATGATCATCAAGGGAAGGAGAAACCTAGTCCACTGTTTGAAGTGGTGTGTGTGTGTATCTGCGTAGACTGTGTGTGATGATCATCAAGGGAAGGAGAAACCTAGTCCACTGTTTGAAGTGGTGTGTGTGTGTATCTGCGTAGACTGTGTGTGATGATCATCAAGGGAAGGAGAAACCTAGTCCACTGTTTGAAGTGGTGTGTGTGTGTATCTGCGTAGACTGTGTGTGATGATCATCAAGGGAAGGAGAAACCTAGTCCGTTGTTTGAAGTGGTGTGTGTGTGTATCTGCGTAGCTGGGAGTCTTTCTAGGTTTGGAGAGGGCTGTATATGTATTTTTCATGCAGGTAAGGGTCTCGGGCTGCCAGGTGCATAGCCAAACCAAGAGAGGTCCCAGGTTTCACAACTGTTCTAGATGTTTGCCTGCCTTGTGTTTCTATCTGTAACAGGGTTGCTACTTTATACTATGATTTCATTTTTATGGCTCAAACTCAGACCCTTTTGTCTCCACCTCCTGAATGCTGGAATTAAAAGTGCGTTTTACTGTGCCCAGCTTTGTACTGTGATTTCATCAGTTGTGTGTCTTATTGAAACTGGCAATGTGACAGCATCTAGATCGAGGGAAAGAACTGTCTTAAATGTAGGAAACACGTGAGCCCTATTTCATGGCCAGGTTTTTAGTTGCGTATAAGGCTAACCAGAAAATTAACTACAAAGACTCAGATTGGCCACTGTTCACTTTTAGTTAACTAAGTTTTTGTTATTTTTAGTATATGCAGCTCTTATATCTACTTGATGAACCAGTCACCATATTAAGATGGTAGCCTCATCTCGTCTATTTTTGGCTTGAAGCCTACCTCTGTTTGTTTTCGGTTTCCATTTGCTTTGTGTATCATTTTCCTTGCTTTTACTTTCAGTTTGCAAGTGTCCTTGCCATTGAGGTGTGTTTCTTGCAGTCAGCAAATGGTGGGATTAGAAAAACAACTAGTCTTTGTCTTTTAATTGGATAGGTAAGACCATTTACATTTGGAGCGCTTACTAAAAAATACTATCTGATTTCTAGAATTTTGTTGATTGTTTTTCTTGGCTTTCTCAGCTGTCATCGCTAGGAGTTAGTTTACTGAATCTGCATGGTTGATTCTTTCTTGGTTCTCATTTATCCATCTGTTCCTCATAAGAGCTCTCTGTCTGTCTTTTACTTTGTGTGTCGCATTCCGTCGGTATTTTCTGTAGTGCTTACTTTGGTACTAATGGATTGCTTTATTTGGACAAACTTGGAAAGTTCAAAAGAACAGAAAGGAGAAAAGATCAGGAGATTTTTAAAAACTGCCCAATAAAGAAATACCCAAAAAACGTAGATAAGTGTGAGGAAAGGAATAAGAAACAAAAACATTTTAAAAGACACTTTTGTTTGGTTGGTTTTGGTTTTTCAAGGCAGGGTTTCTCTGTGTAGTTTTTGGAGCCTGTCCTGGAACTCACTTTATAGACCAGACTGATCCTGAACTCACAGAGATCCCGCCTGCCTCTGCCTCCTGGGTGCTGGGATTAAAGGTGTGCGCAAAGATACTTTTTAAATACATTGACAGGAATATCTGGTGTACCCAGGAGAGTTTCACCCAGGATCTACAATACTTGAGCTTTCTTCGCTCACAGAAACTAATCAGAAGTGCAGCTTTAATGCTTCTTTCTGACCATTTTAGCGGTTTGCTGCTGTCATCATGAGAATAAGAGAGCCACGAACAACTGCCCTGATTTTCAGCTCTGGAAAAATGGTGTGCACTGGAGCCAAGAGGTACCTTAAGGGTTTCTTTGTTTCTGAGGGGTGCGGTTATCAGGCTAGCGCTTTTGTTTTGTTTGTTTCGGGACAGGGTTTCTCTGTGTAGTCCTGACTGTCCTGGAACTCGCTCTGTAGACCAGGCTGGCTTCAAACTCACAAAAATCTGCCTGCCTCTGCCTCCCAATTGCTGGAATTAAAGGCGTGCGCCACCACCGGCTAGCTGGACTATCCTAATCACTTTGAATAGCATCTTCTTACTGTTACCCTGATACTTTGGTTGTAGCATTGTATTTGCACCCTGCTTTTCAGATGAAAGCTCTGTAAGTTGGAAAGTCACAGTTTCACCCAATAATGGTGTCCTAAGAATGGACAGAAATTTGATGTAAGGGAACAGAATTTGTATATTTGTCAATAGTAAATTTTACTAGTATACATTTTTTTTAATTTTTAGTTTTGCTTTTGGTGTTTTGTTTTGTTTTTTGAGTCAGGGTTTCTCAGTGTAGCCCTGACTGTCTTGGAACTCACTCTGTAGACCATGCTGACCTCGAACTCAGAGATCCATCTGCCTCTGCCTCCCAAGTGCTGGGATTAACGGTATGAGCCATGACCATCCGACCTTAGTAATTTTTTTTTTTTTATGAAAATGAAGTTTTCATCTCAGTAGAAATTTGTGGGTCAGAATGTATTAACAGTGATCATAACTGAATCATATGCTATATCACGTCCTTTAAATCTAGGACTTGTCAGTAATGTCGTAAGTTCATGGCTGATGTTTTGGTAGAATATGGTTTCTGTTAAAGACACAATGATAGTTTAATTCGTTTTCTAACTTAGACTCTGTTTAAGTTATTCTTAATTATTCCATTAGGGTTCTGCTCATAACTCACTGTTTATCCTTCCTGCAGTGAAGAACAATCCAGATTAGCAGCGAGAAAATATGCTAGAGTTGTGCAGAAGTTGGGATTCCCAGCTAAGTTCTTAGACTTCAAGATCCAAAACATGGTGGGAAGCTGTGATGTGAAGTTCCCCATAAGGCTGGAAGGCCTTGTGCTGACCCACCAGCAGTTCAGTAGGTAGGTCTGAGAGGAATCCATCTAGAGTCTCCTCAGGCATCATACAGGAAGAAGCACATTCATGACGTTCAGTTTCTAAGTCTATGATGTAGTTGCAAGTTGAATGTGCTACTGGTAAGCAATTATACTGAACTTTCTGCTGCCCTCACAGCTCCTATTCCCCTAGTCACTTAGTGACACCCATACGCCCCTTCACTGGAGTGACTTACGTTCACTTCTGTAGTCAGTAAAGACATTTAAATACATGAATTTGTAGTTTCTTCTACCACTTTTCTCCCAGTTTGAATCTTCTTTGTCAACATTACTAGCAGAGGATAAGATGGCAGCAGGGATGAGCTGTCTGTTATGATTGCTTGTCATTCTCTGGTGAGCACTTCCTCAGCATCCCTGCTCACAGCCTCGTCTCAGTATCTGTTTCCTGCTTGCAGCTGCACCACCTCCCCACACTCAGCATACTTCTCTTGCTTCAGGGCCTTTGCCCAGGGCAATTTTTTACCTGGCACATTAGGTTCAATTTTCAACATAGAACTCCTGTTTGAGCTTTAGATATCCATTCAATGTTGCTCTTCCTCCTGGAGGCCTGCCCTTCATTTATTTCCAGGTCACACATAAAACAGACAGGTCCTTTCATCAGATTGAACTAATAAACCCAAAATCACTAGGATAGAATTTCATCGATTAATGTCAGTTCAGGGTGTAGGCTCATCTTTGAGCTCATGTTTGGTTTATCACTCTGGTTAAGTCACCCTGTTAGAAAAACTGACAGCTCTAGAACATTCCTATTCAGGGAGGGAAGATATGATTACCAGGCTGACTGACTGTCACTCTCAGCTTTTAGGATGAGTGGTGAGATTTTTTTATAAACTATTATCCCTAGACTTGCCCAGAGTGAATCTAATGAGGATCAGAGAACGAGTATACCCTCTTGTCTTTATCAGAAAATGTGGATTCTGTGAAGACAGCATTACGTGATAGGACAGCATGTAGTTGGTCGTCATACCCATGACATGCGGCTCTTGCTTGGTTAAAGTGTTTTCATCTCTTGTCCTGTTTGTAGACATCTGGCTTGTTCACTCAGTATTTCCAGTACTTCACAAGGCCTTGTTGTGTTTATACAAAAACTGATGACTTCCCATTTCCTTTCTAGCTATGAGCCAGAATTATTTCCTGGATTAATCTATAGAATGATCAAACCAAGAATTGTTCTCCTTATTTTTGTTTCTGGAAAAGTTGTATTAACAGGTAAGTTAAAAGGAAAGTAGTGTAACAAAATTGCAGAGAATTTTGGGATAGCATTTCTGTGTTGGGACAGTTGTCTAGCCTCTTGTAAGGATGTTTCTGTTTACATTTTCCTTCCATCCTGACCCCCATGAGAAGGGGGAAGAGTGAGAACTGCAGAGTCCTGCTACAGTTGTAGTCTTCAGCTAGAGTATGCGTCATGGCAGCAGGCAGAGAGGGGACATGAGTAAGTGACTGTTTTCAGTGGCATTAGCCCCTAGAACTTGGGGTTACTAGGTACCATTCTGAGGTAACAAGGCTGAGAGGAGTGCCACTGAACACCAGCAGTTGGGAGAGTAAGGCTTCAGTCCTCAGTGCTTGCAAGTTACCATGCCACCCAGGACCAAGTGTGGGAAAGAACTGTGGGCTAGGGGGTGGGTATTGCCTTGCTGACTTGTGGATCCTGGCCAGGACCAACTGTGGTGAGGAATGGTGGTCTGGGGTGTTAAAAGTCACCAGGTTTATTTTTATTATATGTATATTAATGGTTTTTAAGATAGGGTTTCTCAGTAGCTTTGGAGGCCTATCCTGGAACTCACTCTGTAGACTGGGCTAGCCTCAAACTCACAGACATCCTCCTGCCTCTGCCTCCTGAGTTCTGGGATTAAAGGTGTGCACCACCACCTCTACCAATCTCATTTTTTTTAAAACTGCCAAAAATAAATAAATAAATAAATAAATAAATAAATGGTTTTAAAAACAAGAGCTGGAGAGCATGGCATGGCCAGCCTGGTGTACACAGCAAGTTTGTCTTAACTGGGTATGGAGAGAACTGTACTTGTGACTTTATTTTAAGGCAGCGATGTTACTTTCTATTTTAAGAAATGTTACTTAATCATCTCATTTCTATTCCAATGTGTCTTTGTAGGTGCTAAAGTTAGAGCAGAAATTTATGAAGCATTTGAAAACATCTACCCCATCTTAAAGGGATTCAGGAAGACCACATAGTGGCTGCCATGCATTACTGCCCCCACCACTTGTTTTTAAATGCGTCAGTTCTGGTGCCGCTGATGGTACAGTTGTGAGAAGGACACTCGGCTACAGGTGGCAGCATGAAGTGACACTGTGTCCTACTGCGGACACTGGACAGGTTACCTCCTCTGCACTGAGATCGCCCTGCAGCATCACTGTGAGCCGCTTGCTCTGTGCTGCTATTCGGGCAGCTCTGCCTACTTATTTATATTTAGATTTTAAACACTGCTGTTGATGAATTTGCTGGTTTAAGGGACAGAACTTTTAAGTATTCAAGCCACCTGTACAATTGGACTTTTTATTTTAACTTTTCCCACATAAGCCAGTTTTTATATTTCTACCAGAAAAGTAAAAAATCTTTTTTTAAAAGTGTTGTTTTCTAGTTTGTAACTCTAAGGAGTTATTTTTGTGCCAGATACATTCCTCCTTCCCAGTATTGCAGAACTGAATAGTTGTATTAATCAAAATAAATGTACATACTTTCTTTCTCCAGAGGGCTCTGCACAGAAACATGCAGCTTGTAAATTGTTAGATTTTTGTTATAAACGAAACCTTGTAAGAGTCATGTGATCATACTGTCAAAGAGATTTATTTTAGATATAATGCCTGAGACCACTGTTTTGTTTGCTTGTCATTTGTTTTGTTTTTGTTTGTTGCAGTGAAAATGGACACGCCACTGATTTTATGATCCACACTGAACACCCTCTTACTCCTTCGATACTCTATAGTGTCTGGATCTTCACCCAACTAGTTATGTTCTGTTCCTTTTTCAGCCTTCACCGGGGCCTCCTAGCTGGTACGGGACATGGGAGGGCTCTTGAGTACTTCCGACGTGGAAGTTGGCGTCCTGTCCACAGATAGCTAGCTTCTCTGATGTAGCATTTTTGTCATGGCTATTTTCTCTTGAATACAAGATGGACACTTATGAAGCCTTCGGTTATTTGGGAGCATTTTATGTCCTGTTTTTTAATTGTAAAAGTACATTGTGCACAGCTCAGAGTATGTGCAATCAGAAAGAAGTCTTTCCATCCTTAGCTGTTCTTTCCCCAGGTAACTTCCAGATTAGTGTCTTCTCACCCTCACCTAGATTATGCCTGAGCTCTCCCGTATACCTGATATGGCAGCAGGCAGAGGGGACACTAATGAGTGACTGTTTTCAGTGGCATTAGCCCCTGGAACTTGGGGTTACTAGGTACCATTCTGAGGTAACAAGGCTGAGAGGAGTGCCACTGAACACCAGCAGTTGGGAGAGTAAGGCTTCAGTCCTCAGTGCTCACAAGTTACCGTGCCACTCAGGACCAAGGGTAGGAAAGAACTGTGGACTAGGGTGTTAAGGTGTGTTGCTCTTTAAATTTTTAATGTGCAATTCCGTCCTTTGGAGCTACTTTTTATCTTGTTTTTGGTTCAAAACTTTGGTGACTTGTTTTTAGCCCTTACAGTCAGTGTGTCAGTTATACTTCCAAGAACAGCAATGTCCTAAATACCTTGATTTGAACCATTCCCTTAATGATGGTCCTTGTTACCTCTAGTGCACACTATTATGCAGTATGGCCCAGGTATTCTCATATGTGTATTTTGAATACATAAATTTCTATAATATACTTTTACAAGGGGAATTGATATAAACCATTTATGTATTCCAAGTTTTGACAAATCAGTACTAGAGCCCAGCTCCCCAGAAGTATATAAAGTACCCCTTCCTGCACCTCCCAGGTGTTACTGATGTTTGGGAAGGACATCATTCTAGTACGTTTCTTCAAGATGTTTTTTTTTTTTTTTTTTTAGGTTTTATAATTCTTTTTATATGGAGCATTTTCATGTCATAAAAGTTAATTATTTCAACATGGTTTCTTATTTTTTCATAACACTTTAAGGAAAAATACTAATTTATATTTAACTTTTTCCAATCTATTTATTGAGCTCCCGTTACTGCTGTTAATAGTTTAATGCATTGGAACCCTAAGTTCTAGGCACGTGGTAATTTTGAAAAGTAGTAATCTTGTTTCTTCTTTCTGGTATTTATTTTTAATATTTAAGTGGCTGGGACTTTAAAGTGCCTTGTTTTTTTTCCTTCTTTCCTGTTCTGTTTGAGACAGGGTGACACGGTTAGACTCCTACAGCCCAGGTGGCCGTGAACTCAGTGATTCTGCCTTACTCTCTCAAATAGCTGGGATGGTAGTCTCATGAGCCACTGTGTCTTGCCAAGGTTTTCATTTAACCATTTCTGTAGTATGCATATTTTTTATCCTTATTTTTGACATACTGGGGCTAGAACACAGGATTTGTGCCTGCAGGGAATAACCTCTGTGACTGACCTACCCCCAGAGTAGAACCCTTTAATTCTGAAGGCCATAAGCGGATTGCAGATTAGCATGCACTAAAGTGTGCTGTCCCTAGAGTACACATGCAGCATTCTTTCTGAGAAAGACTGTCTTAGTTAGGTTTTCTACTGCTGTGATAAAATACTGTGACCAACAGCAGCTTGGGACAAAAGGGCTTATTTCAGCTTCTAGTTGTAGTCCTTCATGAAGGGAAGACGGGGTAGGAGCTAAAGAAGGAAGGGCTGTGAAAGAACGCTGCCACTGACTCACTCAGCCTGCCCTGGGGTGGCACCACCCACATTGAGCTGGGCTCTCCCATATTGATCAAGAGTGTACCCCACAGACTGGCCTATAGGTCAATCTTACGGAACTATTTTCTCAAGATTCCTTCTTCCCAGATAGGTCTAGGTTTGTGTCAAACTAACAAAAACCAACCAAGATAGTGTAGTAAGAAGGGATCTTGCTGTATCTAGCCCAGACTGATCAGGCACTGTTTGTGGCCTGAGGTGGCCTTGAATCCTTGGGCCTCCAAGGTCGTACTCCTAAGTGCACCTGGCTGGGTAAGTTCATGTCGATACCACCTGGGGATGTTCCCAAATAACAGCCCTTGCTGTTTATAAATACTTTAGTATATTGACTTCTAAAAGTCTCAGCATTCAGACCCTTCTGTAATACATTTTGAGTGGACAGGATTACTGATAATTTGGGATGTGAAGTCAGACTTGGCATCTCTTTGTCCTGGTCTTTTCCTAAGGTGTGTTTCTACACGTTTGCCACAAGTTGATGCCAATGCCTTCCATGGCTGTGTGCTCTAATACCTCAAGTAAAAATGAACAGCATCTTTCCTTAAAAGTAGCTTGATAAATAATAAATGACCCTTGTAGGAATCTCTAAATGGTTGTATGTGTATTTTAATGTACACATACATGGTATGAACTCATAAGCCAGGACTTTGTGTAATATGCTATAGTCATATATAGACCAGATAGTCAATGGTAGTAGAATGTCATGTAACCTCTTAAAATTTAGAAGATTGCTAGATTAAGATTCAGGGTGGCAGCACTTGGGAAGCAGAGGCAGGCGGATGGATCTCTGTATTTCAAGGACAGCCAGAGATACACTGAGAAACCCCGTCTCGAAAACAAACCAGGATGAACAAGGATGCTAAACGACACAGCAGCTTTCTCAGGTCTGTCTCTGTGTGGTGTCTGACGGGAATTCACTTGTGAATGGATGAAGACTGGAAGCCCTGCTCACATCTTAAGATTTGGCCACGTGGCTTGGCAGTGAACCATATGGAACATCCCGTACCTGAAAGATGGCCCCAGGGCCTCCCTTCAGTCAGGTTGTTGCTTCCAGGGACAGTTCCTTTTCTGTTCACCTTCCCCAGTCATGTGAGAGCAGTCTGTGCAGAGTATTTGTAAAGGAAAGAAAGACAAAGCCCATGACTTCTTTACTGGCTCCTTCATCCTCTCAGACTAACAAGTTCAGTTTTTCCTTGCTCTGGAACTGGACAGTATGGACTGCTCCAGTTTCCCTCCCTCTTTAACCCACATGGAGGTGGGGCATGCTGCCATGTGGCAGGTTACAGAGGGAAAACACAGGGCTCCTTCCCAGATACTCTTTTTAGTTTTTGCTTATTTGTATGTTTTATGCACCTGTATGAGCTATGCCACATGTACTGGGTGCCCACGTGTACTGGGTGCCCCCGGGTCATCAGATTCTCTGGATCTGTGACACAGGCAGCTGTGAGCTTCCTGATTTGGGTGCTAGGAACTGAACTTGGCTCCTTTGAAGAGTAGCAAGCCCTCTTAATAGCTGGAGAGCTGGCTCTGGCTGCTCCTGCAGGGACCCAGGCTTGATTCCCAGCACCCATAGCATCTCCCAAGTGTCTAAGTCCAGTTCTAGGGGAACTCAGCATTGTCTTCTGGCCTCTGAAGGCACCAGGCATGTATGTGGTGCACATAACACACAGACAAAAAAATAATAGTAATTACAATCAACTGAGCCATCTCTCCAGATTATTTCTATGCACACATATATGAATGTCTATTCCTACAAAAGTAACATACCATCAACATCAGTATGGCATCCTGGTATTTATACCCTGTACCCCTCTGGGCATCCATGTATGTTCGTAGCACCAACAGTATCACCCTTCATTATGGACATACAAAAATGAAATTCCCATCATTGGACACTTGTTTTAGTAATACAGAGACATTGTAAATAATGTATCAAGCAACATTTTTATACTTATATAAGTCTTTGGTAACTACTTTCTTAGGATAAAGTCCTAGAGATGGAATTGTGGGGTCCTGAGGCATAAGGAACATTTTTAAGGATTTAACCCTTGTTCAGGTGTATCTGTCACATCCTGTTTCCACACAAACTCCTCTGTGTAACCAATGCCCAGGTCACAGCTCTCAGCACAGGTGAAGACTGCCAGGATGCCCCAGTCCACACTTCTGCCCAGTCTGTCTGCCTTGAGGTAGTTTAGCAGCTGGGGCATGACCTAGGGAGAAGACAATAATATTTTAATACCTATATTTTGGTCCAGTTTTCTTAAGTCATTTTTTAAGGTCATACCTGGAATTCAAATATCCTCTTGGCACCACAGGGGCAATCTGGAATATCTTTTTCATGAGGGATATTTTCACCAGAAATCCAGATGGGTTTAATACCTCTTCCGTACCTGAGAATCTAGAAGGTAACAAGGAGTACATCTCCTCTGAGAATTCCCCACGGATCAGTTAAGAGGATCCCCATATGCTGCCTCTGTGCATTACCAACACCTAAACCTCAAAGCCATTATTTCAGCTCATTTCTTCCCTAACTTGTCAGGGCCTTTTTAAACAATTAAAACATGTGTGTACACATGGCAGCACTCATGGAGGTCAGAGGGTAACCTGTGAGAGTCAACTGCTTCTACTATGTGGGCCCCCGAGCACTCATGGAGGTCAGAGGGTAACCTGTGAGAGTTAACTGCTTCTACTTATGTGGGCCCCCGAGCACTCGTGGAGGTCAGAGGGTAACCTGTGAGAGTCAACTGCTGCTACTATGTGGGCCCCCGGGACCAGACTCAGTCACCTGGCTCAGCAGCAGGCACTGGCCCCAGTGTTAGAATCTCAGTTAAGAATAACTCATTACCATACAACTATGTGAGTCTACATACAAAATGTAGCCATAGCAGTCAGTACTTGGCTTCATGAATAGCCAAGATCCTTAAATACTTAAAAAAGGGATATGTATGTAGTCAGACATAGTGTTTGGTTAAATTGTTTAAAAACGGGTAAATTCACTATAATCAGCTTCAGAGTGTTTTTCCTCTCTTTTGTTTAACTTGTATCACCATTGCTAAAACCACCTAGTGTTACAGGCAGACCAAAGCTTCCTGTTACCCCGGTTGTTCACTTGCTCCAGTGTGTTTGGGAAGTTGCCTTTAGGGATTTTTGTTTATGCTTTTTTCTTTTTTTTGAATTCTGTACATATATAATGTACACAGTGTATGGGCACGTGAATCATACTGGTTTTATAAGTTTTGAGAACACAGTGAAGAGGTATAAATCCCATTTTACCTGTTCTGGTTCAAGGGCTATTTTGGATTTAAACTTTTGAAAAATGTGATCTTCCTTGGATTCATGCTTTGCCATGGACTCTAGTTCTTCCTCAGGTATTCTCCCTGGGGGGAAAACAAACACAATAATTATGGAATACTGGGATAATCCCCACAATTTAGCCATTCAAATGTATGGAGAACCTAGTTAACATAATTAGATTCTCTGTTCAAGTAATTTTAGTACCTATTTGTAGGTAACAGGTAATCATTATAGATCTAGTCTTTAAGGCTTCAAATTAAAAACTCTAGCAGTGCGTCTTGGGGCTCCCTGCGATGGGGTCCTCATCACTGCCGTGCTCTAACCATCTGGATTCTTCCTTCAAGCTTCCTTCCATCTCACCCATCAGTGCCATTTCCTGTTCCACAGCCAGTTTTCCAGCAGACCAGTGGCTGCCAACACAAAGTGTGGTAACATGTATCAAAATACAACCTTAATATCTTGAGTCGGATATGCTGAAATTCAATATCACCATTTTGATAAATTGGGGGAGGCGTTAATTAATGGCACTTCCTGCCATAAATAGCCAGGATGCATGGAGAATGTACACTCCCTCACACTGATATTCTCAAGGGAAGAAGCAAAGCCTTAAGCTACTCCACAGGTGTCCCTGTCCCTACCCTCCCTCCCAATCTCTTTCTCCTTGCAGCTAGGACAGTCACTTCAGGGAAGCATTCTGAAAATGTTTATCTTGTGAATGTTGAACGTCCACAAAAGTAGAAGTGCTGAAGTTGTTATGACGAACCAGCTTCAAATCAAATTTCAAGATTCCCCCAGTCACTTCCAGATAATAACTCATGATTAATGAAATTCCTGCTTTTCTGAATCAGGAATTGAATCTAGAGCCTGATACATGCTAGGCAAAATGAGTTCCAAAGCCCATCCTGTTTTTATTGGTCTGGTTAGGGCCTCATGAATTTGTTCAGGCTTGCCTTGACCCCAATTGGTAGCCCTAGAAGGCCTTGGACTTAAAATCATCTCATCTTAAGCATACTGAGTAGCTGAGATTGTAGGTCTGTACCACTAGGATCCACTGATAACTGAGGGGTGGGGTGTGTGTGTGTTGTGTTTGAGATGGGGTTTCTCTGTATAAAAGCCTTTGCTGTCCTTGAACTCACAGAGATCCACCTGCTTCTGCCTCCAAAGTGCTGGGATTAAAGGTGTAATAACTGGATTCTTAACTATTAACTTCTTCAATTTCCGATGATAACCACTTTCTTTCATTATTTTCTCAGTAGTTCTGGAATCAGCTATCTCTCTAAATAGATCATTTTATAGATCTGGAGTACCAACTATAAATGAGATGATCTAACAATTTCTAAAATTTCACAATCTAACAATTTTTAAAAATCTAAAGATTTTTAAATCTTTGTTATAGATAAAGTACTTATGAGTTGCTACCATCTTCCAATAAAAAAATTCAGACCTACTTTCTGCAAATCTGTACTATTTCCTCAGACCTAATATATCAATTTACTTAATAAAAATAACAGCGGTTAGATATAAAATGTGTAACACCTGTAATATTTGCAATTAGGAGGCAGAGTTCAAGGCCAACCTGGCCTTATATGAGGACCTACTTCCAAAGAAAAACATGCCCATCGCTTTTTTCCCACTCTTGAAATATATTTTACTAGATACACATCTGTCAAATCACTGGTTTGAAGTCAAGTAGAATTATGTAGATATATAATTCAACTGTTTACTTTTATGATTGCTTCTTATCTAAGGCTCACTCACACATCCTACTTACATCAGGTAGTTTATGTGCATCCACTCCTAGGTTCTTAAGCTCCGAGCCATCTCTCCAGCTCCGCATCTCACCTTTCTATCAGTCACAAGACATTCACTTCTTTGGGTTCCTGACTCCTGGGTGCCTTCTTCCCACTGTGTGTTCCTGTTCCCGAGCATGAACCAATAACTGAGAGCCTAATTTGGTTTCTATAAGCCTGACCTTGCGGTTTAGAAATTGAAATCCTACTGTCAGCAAGATCTAGAATCAAACTATAAAACTTAAGTTCTTTGTTCAAACACATGATACCCAGAACTTGGTTTCCACCCTGGAAGCACAGGCCAAGTGTGTTCAGTGAGCCCCCCCATGAGCGACCTTAGAGTGTGAAAGCTGGACTCATCATGATCACAAGTGTGTTGGTCACTACTTCTGCCTCGACACAGCCCTAGCACATGAACTCTAGAGACAGTAACCAAAGTATGGATCTAAAAGCAGAATTAAAAGACTGTCACAAAGGGCCCTTGTCATCCATTCTGCAGTTACTGTTCTCATCTCCAATCTCCCACCACGATCTTCTGTTTCACCACTGACATACTGATGGAGGCTCTCCTCCCTGAAGTGTTTTTCCTAAAGTGTATTTGGTCATAGTACTGTAAAACTTATATGCCATGTCCTTACCCATGCTTTCTGTGACATCAGAATAATCTTCCATTTCTACAGCCTCAGGTATAATCTCATTTTCTGCTTCTGTTACAATTTCAAATTCTGGAAACAGGAAGTTGTGATCTGGAATTGTCTGGTTTAAAGGATCTACAAGAAAGTTATTAGCATCATTAATAAACATTTAGTTTTAAGATGATCTAAAATTTTCCCATTTCTAAAGCATTTCATCAGTCTGAACATCAGTCACTATGGCATAGGACAATCACTGTGGAGCCGGACGCCAGGCATCCGGTGAAGTATTGGGCATTAAACGTATAAAGCTGCTGCCTGTATAACACAGCAAGCTCAGTTCTGAGTCAGGATCTCACTGTGTAGCCCAGATGGGCCTCAAACTCCTCCTGCATCTTGAGAGCTAGGATTACAGACAGGTGTCACCACCACTGGCTCATTATTTTTAAAATACATATTAGGCTAAAGTAAGATTAAATGGTACAATAAATATACCAACTGTTAATACAGTCACTTGTTACCAATGTACTGGATGTTATACACAACTCATGAGACTAGCCCAAGCATAAACAGTGATGAGATCACAGTCTACCAAGTCACTAAAGAATTCATTATCTTATCAGATCAGGGGTGCATGTGCCATCGACCAAAAGACAGTGACACTATACATGACTGCTGTTAACTACTGTGTTTAGCTGGTTCTATTTTTGACTAGGGAGTCTAAAAGCCAATACTCAAGATGTCCATATGATTTCAACACCACTTTCATTATTAAAGTATTCATGTTACCAGTTCTAAAACTTTCTAAAGTATTTTGTTTTCTAATTTAAACTTTAATCAGAAACTAAAGTGTCTGGGTTGACTGAGGCACCGAAACTGCTAGAAACGGATATCTTACCTGACTGTTCACAAGCCTGCTTGTGTCCCAGCCGCCAGTCCAGTGTCTGATGCTCCTTACTGCAGTAATGTGCCTGCTTGCACCTAGAGCAGGCTTTAGGGCCCAGGCAGCCACAAACCCTACAGAGACGGGCTCCTGTCTTAAGCTGGAGGCACGCACATTCTCCACTGTCTGAACCTCCCGTCTCAGAAGGTGGCTCGTATGAGTAAAACACATTTTTCCTCGGTAGCTGATTACGAAAAACTGAAACGAAGAGTTATGGAAAGTATAAAGGTTTTCAGTGAAACAAAATCCAAACATTTGAACCTTCTTCTTCACTTCCGCATAAAAAGGAAAAGTAGAGTCTTTTCTTTCAGGGAGGAATTCTTACAGGAGAGGGATAAAACCGGGAAGAATTCGTGCCTAACAATTAGAGTTATGAAAATCTGTAGGTAGGAGCACGTTTCTAAGAGACAGTTTCTATTACCCGACTCCAACTGCCCACATCAACCGGCTCATCCCACTCCGAGGTCTGACCCGAGGCACCCACAGCTTCGGCCCTGCCCCCGGGCGGGCCGCTCACCTCGCAGCCCGGCGCAGCACGGCGGCTCGCGACAGCAGAAGAGGAAGAGGCTGCGGTGGAAGGCGTCGTCCCGGCCGGGCAGCGGCGCGTACACCTGCAGTAGGAAGGCGAGCGGGCGGCCACAGCGCGCGCACGCCAGCGCCCCGGGCCCCGGCAGCCCCGTCAGGCCGAGCCAGGCGGGCCGCCCGCCCACTTTGCTCGGGAACTGCTCGCTGCGCAGTCTCCAGGCCGCTGCCTCCTCGGCGAAGCCCAGCTCCACCGGCCCGGGAGCAGCCATGGGGTCCCGGAGGGGTCGGGGTGTGTGGTCTCCGCACCGGAAGAGCGACAGGAGGCGGAAATGAACGCAGGAGGCTGGAGGGCGGGGCCAACCGCAGCCTTCCGGTGCAGGTCTCTACTTCCGGGGGCGCGGAGATCGGACGCTTTTTCAGGGTTTTTGGGACCTCTGAGTTTAAGGTGTTAATTCGAGATACTAAGGCTGTTGAGACGGGTGGGATTCTCAGCGCTTGAATATAAAGGAGATACTGTAGTTTTTACGTTGAAAATTTGCAGGTTTCTCTTAGGACGGTTTTGTCTTTAGCAAACAAAACTTGTCTAAGTGGATATTGGTGGTGTCGTTTCCCGGAGGAGAACAGATGTGTATTTCCTCCTCAGAGGAGCGAGGGGCAAGCAGGCTTCCCAAGGCAGGGATCAGTAGTTTGGTTCTATTCTGTTGTATCATGTCCGAGACAGTTTCTTATCGTTTTCTTATTTTCATGTAACGTATACATCCTAAGTAAGGTTGTTAATCATAATTAATGTTAGAGTTTGCTGCTTTCCTCCTTTCTTCCCAAGGGATGTTCCGCTGTCCTGCGGGAGAATTGACATTGGGGCAAACAAACACAGAGCCTTGAAACTTGCCCTCTCGCGGTTAAAGGATGTTCAGAACTCTGTGGAAGAGAAAGATTAACGGATGCAGTTGAGAATAAGCATTAGAAACAAATTTATGGAAATGCTTCACACCGTTGGGTGCTCCCATACGCACTGTCCTGTGTCTTGGATTTAGACAGGATCCCTGGGAAATGGAAAGACAAAAAAAAAAGTGTGATATTAGCTGGTGTAAACCAGAATTCCTAGAAGTAAGCTGCTTTCATAGCCTGGTCAACTAACAAAATGGTTTTTTTGCCTTTAAAGATTAAGTTTAGAATGTTGCTGATACTATTTCTTTTAGGTTATCTTTTGCCCCTTAAAGAGTCCTTATTGCCCAACCTTTGTGTCAGACCTAACATCCTGAAAAATAGGTAAAGACGATTAACAAAATGCTATTCTCCACCAATCAAAAGGCTAAGAATGCGTTCGGATAGCTCTGGGCCTGTAGGTGAGACTTCTCTGCCTGTGACTGACTAATGTCTCCACCAGTATATTTTTAGAATACCTTGATTTTAAATTTTCTTTATTCTGTTACTGTAAAAGCTCCACGAAACTGCTTCTACCTTGGAACATTGTACTTGAGAAGACCTGAATGTTTGTTCCCGAGCTATGATCACTCAAATTTAGCTGCAGAATAAACTTTTTGTTTTTCATTTTCATTTCATTTGCTTGTAGCGTTAGAGTCTGTCTTGGAACTCGCTCTGTAGACCAGGCTGGCCTCGAACTGACAGAGCTCCGCCTATCTCTTATCTCTGTCTCTTGGGTGCTGGGATTAAAGGGGTGTGCTACCACCACCCAGCGTCCAGAACCAATTTTAACCCCATTTGAGGTGAAAGCTGTAGTTTCGTGTCAACATTAGTAATGTGACCGAATGCGGTGGGTTCCCATCTTGGTATATGCAGAGCCAAATTAAGCTCAGCCAAGAAGAGTGGAGAAAGATTAATTTCAGCAGACAGCGAGAGCACTGGAGTGACAAATATGTTCATAGAGGGGTCAGCTCGTTTCTAAACATGCTGTTAAGAGTATACTCCTGGGGGGCTGGAGAGATGGCTCAGTGGTTAAGAGCACTGGTTGTTCTTCCAGAGCACCCGGGTTCATTTCCCAGCAGCTCACAACTGTCCGTACCACCAGTTGCAGGGAACCCAACACCAAGGTCAAAACAACTAATGCATATAAAATAAAATTTTAAAAAAAGTACACTCCTGGTCTTGCTCAATTTAAGGTAATTTTATTTCTTCTCCTCCTCCTTCATACTCCTTTTTCTTTCAGAGACAGCATTTCCATTTGTTGCTTATCAGACCTTTGAAACCAAACCACAGGGTGAGTGTTAGTATTCAGGCATCTGTACTGGTCTGCCCTTGGGGTCCTGACAGGCTGCATCCTCAGCTGCAGCTGCTAAGAACACCTGCTGTGCACATTCACTAGTTCCCTTTTAAGAGGTGGGCCTTTCCCACCTCTCATCTCTCTCCCTCCCTTTCTCCCCCACTCCCAGAGTGTCTGACTCCCCCCCCCCCCATTCTGCCACTCCTGTCATCAGAAGCCTGTCTCCCCCTTCCCCTTTTCCCATTTCCTTTCCCCTAAATTCTGCCCCTCCACGTGAGCCCTGTTGCATGGGTCTTTCACGCTGTGGAGAATTCATCTTTATTACGCCTGCAGGCCTCCTGATAGATACAACGGATCTGCCCTGAGCGTCTCACCCAGATTGCACGTTCACGTTTATAGTTTGCCCAGCATCATTTCCTACCTTTTCTGTTACTGGTGGGTTTAACCTGTGACTACAGACAATGGATGAGATCAAGGGGTTTGAATTTTAGCCTACATGACTAAGCCCATGAATGAACATGATACACAAGCAGAAACTATGACATTACAATTATTTTGTAATGGTCTGTTTTTTTTTTACCAAGAGAGGGTATTCAGCTCATGTGAGGTTATAGAAGCTAAACACAGGACATATTACTCATAGCTACAACTACAGAAAGAAATTTTAAATATTTTTATTAGCCACGGCTGGTCTGGAACTGTAGGGGATTATAGGCCCCAGACTCACTAACTCTTCCTCCTGAATGTCAAGATTAAAGGCATGGTCCATCATACCCTGCCCTAAGGTTGTTTTCTTTATTTAAAAAAAAAAAAGGCTAGGGGCTGAAGAGATGGTTCAGCAGTTAACACTGCCTATTGTTTGTTTTTGTTGTTGCTTTTTGTTTTGCTTTTGAGACAGGGTTTCTGTGTAGCCCTGGCTGTCCTAGACCTCACTCTGTAGACCAGACTGGCATTGAACTTAGACATCCGCCTGCCTCTGCTTCTCAAATGCTGGGATTAAAGGTGTGCACCACCACCACTGCCTGGCTGGTTGTTCTTCAGAGAATCCAGGTTTATTTCCCAGAACCTAAATGGTGGCTCACAACCTCGGACTCTTGTTCCAGAAGATTCAGCACCCTCTTCTGGCCTTCTTGAGCACCAGGCACACAGGTAATATACAGACATGCAGGCAGACAAAACACCCATCCACACAAAATAAAATTTAAAAAGAAAAGGTAGATACATTTGGTCAGGGTTGAGGAGTGGAGGCATGCTCGGCTCAGAGTCATAAAGTTTGTGTGTAAAGATTAAAGCTGGATGGGCTGCACTCAGGAGGCAGGGCAGAGGCAGGTGGATATCTGAGTTCAAGGCCAGCCTAGTCAGCAGAGTGAGTTCCAGGGCAGCCAGAGCTATACAGTGAGCCCCTGTCTCAAAAAGGTGGTATCTTAGAATGCTGAGGGGCTACAGGGTAGATGGACTCCCTGGTAGACAGACAGATAGAAAGGGAAAGAGACCACAGGTAGACCATAAAGGGATCAAACTTCCAAGATAGTCAGCTTGACCCTCCTTACCTGAGACAAAAGTCTGGCAGCTTCTACCAAAGGCCTTGTTGGCTTTTTTTTCTCCTGCTTGTGGCTCCCTGATGGGCTGGCTCGGCAAGTATGCCGGATCAGACAACTGTGGACTAACCAACCTTGCCTTTCTTCCAGTCAGCCTTCTCCAAATTAGGGGAGGAAACTCTTTGTGGTGGGGGTGGGGGTGGGGGTGGGGGAGTCTGGATTTTTTGGCTTCCCAAGGTGTGTCTGACCCCGTCCTGACCCATTTCTTCCCCTGCCCCGCTTGGAGAGTCTTTTTCTCTATGTACCCACTTTCCTTAACCACCTGATCTTGCTTCTGTAATCAGTTCAGCTGCTGTCTCCCCCTAAGGCAGGGTTCCTGAGACCAGCCCCGAGCCAATTTCTCAAGCCCTTTTTGTAGGACAAAATCATAGGGAGCGGCTTTTGCATGTAAACATGTTTACAAAAACGGGACCAGGCGGTTAAGGAAAATGGGTCCTGGAACAATGGAAAAAGAACATTTCTAAGAGCAGATAGCTCTGGGGGTCGGTTTATGGTACATCTGTGGTTACTAGGGTAAGATAAATTATGTCTTTTTTTTTTTTCTCGACACGGGTTTTCCTGTGTAACAGTACTGGCTGTCCTGGAACTAGCTCCATAGACCAGGCTCTCCTCCAACTCAGCAATCCTCCTGCCTCTGCCTCCTGAGTGCTGGGATTAAAGGCATGTTGATGGAGGAAGGTCATTGGTTAAATAAAAAGAAACTGCTTGTCCCTCATTGGTTAGAAGATAGGTGGGAGGAGTAAACAGAACAGAATGCTGGGAGGAAGAGGAAGTGAGCTCAGACTCCACAGCTCTCCTCTCGGGAGCAGATGAGTCAGAGAGAGACGCCATGCTCCCAGCTCCCAGGCAGACGCACGCAATGAAGCTCCAACCCAGGATGGACATAGGCTAGAATCTTCCCGGTAAGCGCACCTAGGGGTGCTACACAGATGATTAGAAATGGGCTAAATTAATATGTGAGAATTAGCCTAGAAGAGGCTAGATAGAGATGGGCGAAGCAGTGATTAAATGAATACAGTTTGTGTGTTGTTATTTCGGGCATAAGCTAGCCAGGCAGCTGGGGTGCTGGGGACGCAGCCCCGCCGCCCTTATTACTACAAATGGCGCCCGACGTGATGGACTGAACCCACTTAAAAAACCTGAGAAGGCTTAAAAATAAGGGAGAGAGAGTTTAACACAGATTTTTGCTGTTTGTTGGTGGCGTGCTGTAGAGAGATTTCCTGATTCGGCAACAGCAGGAGAAAAAACGCTGTGTCATTTTAAAGCGCAGCTTCTTGGGGCTGTACTGCCAGCGTGAACTCTGGCTTTAAAGCATTTGTGGCACTCTGCTTGCTAGAGGCAAGCAAGCGCTCTCGTCTAAGAGAAGCTTCCTGACTCAGCTTTAGCTGCCAAACCCTGCAGCTCATTAAGAGGTCCTGCCACGAAACAATTAAATGGTGTTGACAAAAAGCTGAACGCATGCTTTTCGGTTTTCAGCAGTGGCAGGAAAAAAGCTGCGCCGTTTAAAAATGCCGG